ACTTTCAAGCCATAGACTTTTGACGTCATCTTGATTGCCAATAGAAGTCACTGAACATGTACAGAGGGAGTAACAGGATTAATTTTGAATTTTCATTCTACCTAGAACACTGGGTGAGTGTCACTGGGGCAAACATAAAAGCAGACCAAGGAAGTGGCCCCCAGCTGACCAAGCAGTGAGGGGAGGGAGATGGGAACTAGCAGGAGCTCTCCCATGAAGGTGAGCAGGCTGCCAGGTTAACCCAGCTGGGCTCAGGCAGCACAGCCCAGAAACTGTTAGAAGCGGACACAGATGTCAGCTCACGGGGAAATGCCATTCATGATCAAGAAGGCCTGCACCAGTGGCCATAGCTGAAGTAAATAAACGATTACACACAAAGCCACATGATTTCCCACTATCCACACGAAAGCAACACAATTACAGATTACATTGCATTGACTTTCATTACAGTTCGCTATGTTTTAAGAGCACTTTTCCTGCATTCACGATATTCCAAAGGCAACTAAAAATGAGAATTATGAAGTACAGGCACTCAGGAGCCCCACCCTACTCTCCAATCCCCATCACTAGCCTACCATTTAAGTGCTCCATTTTGTTCGAAAAGGACAAATAACTTCATTTTTGCCCATGTGTCTCCAGATGCCCGTATGCTATTAGATGTGCTCCTGGATTTCTGCTGTAGAATTACCTCTGCCAATGTGGCTGTTCCATCTTTAGTGTTGTTCAGGCCTTCTACTGGGTGGCTCAGGCCCACCCACACTGCAGAGGAGAATCTGCCTTACTCAGTGTCCACCAGTTCCTATGCTTATCTCAACCAAGAATATTCTCAAAGAAGCTCTCTATGGTTCTCAACCTGTGGGTCATGATCCATCATCTCAGATATTTTACATTATATTTCATAACAGCAGCAAAATTACAGGTATGAAATAGCAACAAGATAATTTTATGGCTGGGGGTCACCACAACATAAGGAGCTGTATTGAAGGGTCACAGCATTAGGAAAGTTGAGAACCACTACTCTAGAAGAATGTTCGAACACATTTGAGACATAAAATTAATCATTAAAGTTAAACTTTTAAAATATTAGAGATTTTAATAGGTATGTAGTAGTATTCATTTTTGTTTTAATTTGCATTTTCATAATTAATAATGCTGTGTATTTTAAGAGCTAATTTACCACTGACCATCTTTGAAGTACTATTCAAATGTTTGGCCCATTTTTAACAGAAATTTTAATCAGCTTGAGAGGTATTTATATTGATAAGAAATAATCATGTGAATAGTTAGTAAATATCTCATTAGACATGCTGTTTTGGTTATAGTTAGGTTCTTATTATCTTTCAATATATGGAGGGCAAGGCCTCCAAAATAGTCCTTCATCTTCAGAATTTCCTTGCAAAGCAAGATCACTTGTTCTTGTAGATCAATTTTGAAATCAAATTACTTAACTTCAACAAAACAATGGGAGTTTTGATTGAGCGAGCAATAAATTATAAAACAAATTTTGTAAAAGACACATGCTATACATGGATACATGTACATATGCATCCATATGGGCACCTGTATTTTCTAAGCCTTGGTCTTTGGGTTCTGTTTGTTTGTTTGTTTGTTTGTTTGTTTGTTTGTTTGGGTTGGGGGCATTTTTGAAACAGGGTTTTACTACATAGCCAGACTAACCTCAAACTTAATACCCTCCTCCCTCAGCCTCCTGAGCACCAGGGTTACAGTGTGGGCCCTCATGTCAGCCTGTTTCCTTGTATTACATCACCCTTTTCTTCCTAGAATAAGTACCGTTGACTCACAATGAAGTCATATTTAATGAAATGCTGGGTTCTACTCACCCGTGTAAATTACATTTTGTCTTGATAGTAATGAATGAAGTTGGTTTATAGTGATATTTTCATATTACATTTTGTAGGTTTTAGAATCCATGTTGGTCGTACTTCATATTTTACCTTTTTTAAGTGGTCGAATATTTAAGTAGCATTGCAGTTTTTTGATATCTAGTGATTTGGCAGACTTTTTCTAAGGAAGCATCTGGTCAGGTAGGGGTTATAACTGAGCAGTAGAGCATTTGACCTACCTACACAAAAGCTCTGGGTTCAATCCCACAAAGTCAAAACAAGCCAACAATCAAAAATAAGGAAAAAAGAAAGGAAAGGTAGGCAGGCAGGCAGGCAAGCATCTAATCATGGTACTTGAAAGACCCATTTTTATAAATTGCTCTCTTTCTGCTTAGATAATTGGTCCTGATTAGACAATTCTATCTCTACTGGGGTCAACCTTGAGGAAATACATTTTTTTTTCTGAAAATGTACCATTTTCATCAAATTGTTAAAGGTATTTGCATAATATTCTGCTAAGTTCATAGTTTTATTTCTTCTCTACTATCACTTTCTTTTAAAAATTGTTTATGTGTTTAGATGTGGGGAGTGTGTTCAGTGTGAGTGCATCTGTAGACAGGTCAGCCTTAGGTGCCGCTCCTCACCATCCACCTTGATTTTTCAAAGAGCATCTCTCTTTGGCCTGGAGTTTGCAGAGTAGCCTGGGTGGGCTGGCCAGCAAGCTCAGGACTCCTCCTAACTCTGGCAGGATTACAAGCAGACACCACCGTGACCACCACCTGTTTACACGAGGTTTCTAGAGATTGCATCTGGGTCCTCATGTTCCTTGAAGCCCTATTTCTTCTCTCCTGTTGCTCACTTCCTTGCTGACTCTTACTTATTTCTTGTGCTTGTGTATTCTGTCCTTCATCTATTTTCTTTGGCTGTGAATTCTCCCCGTCTTAAATCTGCTTTCAGTTCGTGACCTTTCCTTTGTTTTGTTTGTTTGTTTTGTTTTTTTTTTTCACTTTCCCTTGTTGATGTTTTTTCCTAGCATTTTGAATTTGCAACTCATTTATTTGTGTGTTTTCATTTTACTGAAATAAGTATTTGCTGCTGTGAATTTTAGATTCTGATATGTTGTGTTTCCATTATTGCTATTTTCTAGAAGTTCTAAGATTTAGCCTTAGATTTCCTGTTGTGCAAAGAGTTATCTAATCACTAACAGTTGCTTGATGAAATGGCCACTGGAAGAAAAAAAAAGGGGGTAAGCCTTAACAATCAAATTCTTACTGCTTTAATTTACATTTATATTGTTCAAGGACCTTTAAAATGTTACTAATTTTCACTTTGTTGTAGTATGGTCATAACTATTGTCAATGGAGTTTTGTTTTTTGTTTGTTTGGGCAACTTGAGGGTTTTATTTTTTGTATGTGTAAAAAATATAAGCAGCTTTAGTGAAAATCGGTCTTGGAAGAAGGTGTGTTCTCTGTCTAGTTCAGGAATCTTACATTACGTTGACAATGTTACCTACTAATTGGTGGCTCCCATATTTTATTGCCTTAACAAATGTTTTGTCTACTTGATCTATCTCAAACTGAGAACAGTTTCTGTGTTTCATCTATTTCTACTTCACAAAAGTCACTGCACTGCTCTGTTATCTAATGCACCATCTGGGTTTCTTTGACTAAGATCTGGAAACAAGGATTCAGATGCCAGTGGCTGAGATGGTAAGTGGAGAACACAATGCGTGAGGGAGAAAAGCTAAGTCAGAGCAGGGTGGGAAGCCAATAAAGGGTCGCATTAAGACCGTGGGACACATGGAGCTTTCCTCACTGGGAGACCAGCTGTTGGTTTAACGTGAATGCTCAGGGGTTTTCCTGTTCAAGGGAGGAAGCTGGGTGCTTGCATGCTCCATGCCAATTATCATGGTTGAGGACTACTCCCAGGGATATTAATTCTCCAGCAATTCCACACTATCACGTGGTGCCAAAGAAGACGCTGGCTGCCAAAAAAAAAAAAAAAATCCATGCAAAGAAATGAGATGCCAGAGTGGGTAGTACCAGTAAGACTGGGACGTACAAAGTAAGACTATTGGTTGATGTGAGTGGGTCCTGATGCATCAGTTTTAGCCACCAAAGGATAAGCCCTGCTGGCCTGTTGCTTTACGCAGCGTGTTGGCCATGACTTTCACTTGGATTAATGTTCATTGCAACTATGTCCTATAAGCAGTGTTGTGTTTTTGCTTTGCTTATCAATCTAATTTTTCCTATTATTAAGAGACATGAATCAATTTTTGGGTTTATTAATGATTGGTTTATTAATATTTGGTCATTCATATTATTCATGTCATATTTCAATATGTGCTAAAAAATTTTTTTTGAGACAGGGCCTCACTATGTAGCCGTGGCTAGCCTCAAACTCACTATGTAGATGAGGTTGGCCTTAAACTCATAAAGATCCTCCTGTTTCTGTCTCTAAATGCTGGGATTAAAGGCAAGTAGCCACCACACCTGATATTTACCATTTCTTTAAGGCATAGACACTAAAAATCCTTTTTCCTGGCATTTTGAAACAGTACATTATCATGGATTGTAGTCACCTTACTGTGCAGAACCCCGGACCTTCCTAGACCTTGTAATTATTCCTTGGTGCCATTATCAACCTTCCCTCACCCCCCTTTTCCTACAATTCCCAAACTCTAGCAACCTCATTCTGCTGTTGGCCTGTTTCTGTATAACTAGTGTACAGTTGCACAAAACAATGGATTGCATTATAAAGTTTCAAACATGTATAGCATGCACTTCAGTCAAATTCACCCCAAACCTCTTGTCCTTTAACTGTGCTCCTGGTGAACCTCTTCCTCTTCCCAAATAGTTTCCCTTCTACTTTGATGTTAGAGAGAGAGAAAGAGAGAGAGAGAGAGAGAGAGAGAGAGAGAGAGAGAGAGAGAGAGAGAGAGAGATTCTGCATGTATCTGCTGTCAGTTTTATGAGATCAGCATACTGCTTGTGTGAGTAGAATTGTGCAGTCATTTGTCTGTTCATGCCTGATTTATTACACTTAGCATAGTGACCTTAAGTCACATATTTCTACGTCTTTTTTAAATTTAAATGCAAACTTCTACTTCTAATCAAGATGTTGTTATAAGGAAGAGATTTTTTTCTCCTCCGACAGGAAACAACAGAACACCAACACATGCAGCAATGGCATCTGGACACTAAAGCACGAGCTGTAAATGATCCTGTTCAAAAGAAAACGAGCAGATGATGTAAGTATTGCAGCTGCTCAGCTTCTCGCTCTGGGAGAATGTCCAAGATGAGATGGGGGGAGAGGGAGCAAAGTAGAGTGTGGATGCTGATGCGGCTGTGAGTACCAAGAGAGGGGGGCCTCTGATGCTCACAGGAAAAGGTATACAGAGAGAGAGAGCCCCAGAGCTCTGCATAGGCTGCACTGGAATTCGGCTGAGAGGAATTCTCAGCTCACTAAGCCCATGAGTGAATTAGTCTATTTGCCCAGCACTAATCCACATATCATCTCTTAAAGTTCTCTTCTGGTCCAACCTCACAAGTGAGAGGTAAATTTTAGCATGAGTTTTAGCAGCTATTCTAACTACAGCAGTAATTGAGAATTTGAAGGGAAAAAGTATACTCCCATAATCTAGGAGTGAGAACCCCTAATTGCAGTGAGCCCTGGCAAGCTAGCTTGGGATAAAGAATCAGGGTTAACCCAGAGGCAGCTCTCAGGGGGACCATGAGACCTGGGGTTGTTCCTCTTCACCCTGGCTCTCTAGCTTTCTCTTCTCCCCAGCTCTCATCTAAATGATTCTGTCCCTGCCCCATTCTTTAAGAGGCTTCTGTGGTGATTTATTGATTCAATATAAATGATGAACTTAAATGCAACTCAAGAAAAATAGGATCCAATAGCTCATGGTACTGAGGCTCCCCGGGGCATCTGCAATTCTCCCAAGGCCAGAAGCATCAATCAGAACCGAATGGCATGGTAGAAAGTCATGATGGGCTGTGAATGGCGAGTCAACATGGACAGTGAGGTGTTTCACAGAATAGTTGTAGAGCAGACCCGGGAGCCCGGTTTCCCCATGTCTTACCTCTTAACCAGCCAGGCCTCAAAGTCCAGAGCCAAGATGAGCAGATAGGACAACTGTGGAAATTAGGAGCAGGAAATCCCTGTAAGCTCTACAGTAAAGTTCAAAGAGCCTTCAATCTCCATCCTGTGAACTAACCAAAAGAGCGTTTTCCCCACCAGACAGATGCAGAGAACACAATGGCCCACTCTTCTGTGCTTTAAATAAGTGACTGGGAAAAGCTATCTTGATTACAGAAGTCTGCTTATATAGTTAATAGTCAGACCTATGCACAGGCCAAGATGTTAGGCACCAGCAATGTTCTCAGGTAGATCTACAGACATCAGAATGGGAACTATATTAGGTGTGAGGTATGACTTTTCAATTGGGAAAAGCAGAGATATTAACAAGCCTGCTCATGAAGTACCATAAAGGTCTGTAGACTTGTCCCTGGCAACCACAGGCTATCCTCAAGGACTTACCTAGACTGGAGTGAGCAATCCAGAATGGCCAGTGTCCTGCCAATGAGCCTCCATTTCTGCTAGGAGATGCTACTGCCCTTGATGTTCAAATCTTGCCTTCAGTTTGAGTAACACCAAACTACCCTGTGCCTTTTATTGTCAATCAGTGTTCTCAGATAATTAAGATGCTGTTAATTCTTGGCAAAAAGTGTAATTAAGAAGCTTAATTATGTCTGTGTGGAGTGAGGGGACTCAGCAGGGCACAAGGCAGCAGCTCTCAGACTTTAATTGCATTAGGAGTCACCCAGGGGGAGCTTGTTAAAAATGCAAATTCCCTGGCTCATTGCCAGAGCATCCTGATTCAGCCAGTAGGGGTGGGACTCAAGAATGTACATTTTTATCCTATATGTAAGCACACAGGTGACTCTGACACTGATGTGTAAGGTGACACATGCAAGGGAACTCACTGGCAGCTCTTGGTTAGTGTGACCCAAGTCATCCACTGACAGGAGGTGGAGATTTTCTAAGCCACAGATCCAATGAGGTCTCGGCCTTCAAAATGCACTGTGCATTCTAATGTGCTTCTGGAGCCTGCTCTGAAAAGCCGTGCTTTCCTGGGCTCTTACCAGGGACCAGCACAAGTGCTAATTATGACTTAACCCTTTAGCATGTCTACATGTGATGAAAGTGTTATTATACAGAAGAGGACACTGAGCTTAAAGAGGGTAAATACGTTTCTCGTGATCACATGGATTTTTCATTTTTTTTAAAATGTAATATGACTTCGTTTATGGAAGTCTATACTATATGTACTGCATTTGTAGATAATATTACCTAAACTTACTTGACAAATACATATTCATTTCCATTATTTCGTTTTATTAGCATATAATAACTATACCAGTAATTGGTAACATTATGACATTTTCATACATTTTAATACATGCGTATAATAAACTTTGATCATGTTCCCTTCCTTATTACCCTCTCTTAACTCTTTTACCCTTCAGATAGTCATCTTTCTTGTCTCAAGTAGTTCTTCCCCTATTTTCATTTCTCTTTTTTATCTTTTATAAGATTTTCAATTATTAAGAAGATAAGTATCAGTTGGGGTCTGCCAAAGAAGAGTGAAAAGGATATGTTTGTATGGTGTGTGTGTGTGTGTGTGTGTGTGTGTGTGTGTGTGTAAGACACAGATATGAGATATTATAAGGAATTGGCCATGCCATCATGGAGGCTGAGAATTATAGACCCAGAAAAGCCAATGGTATAAAATTCATTTTGAGTTTGAGTCTGAAGTCAGGATTTCAGAAAGCTGATGCCTAGGTTAAAAATGGGCAGAAAAAAAAATTCTTTCTTCGTCTTTTATTCTCTTTAGACTCTTAACAGATTGGATGAGGCCCAGCTACATCAAGGAGGGTGGTCTCCTTTACTCAATCTCATCTTCAGTGTCATCTGGAAATTTCCTCACGGACACATCTGTAAATAATATTCAACCAGATATCTGGCGCCCTAGGACTACAACAAGGTGCCGTGTGAAATTAACTTTCACAGTTGCTAGACAGGGTTTTGTTACCCGGCATGTCCCTTCCTTGCTGCAGCAGCCTTATTGGAAGTCTCCTGCTTTGTGGTGTGTGGGTGTTGGGGCTGTTTGCAGAATGCAGGTTGCGAGCACCCCAGACACTCTCACAGATGTACAGGAGCTGTGTGGTGGGAACAGAACTCCCTCCCTGCCCACTCTCGCAGTACTTTAAACCTGACCTCAGATGATAATTTTATTGCCCACCATCTCGGGCACTGCAAAAAGGATGCACTTCTGTCTGCCTTATGTTGCTTAGCTTTTTCATAAGCCCTGGTCTCTGGCAGGGTCCCAGTCCAGGAGACAGCTTTAAGGAAGAAGTAGAGTAGAGCGAATGCACGCAGAACTTCAGGTCATCTCTACTACGTGATAATGAGCCCCTAGACCGTTCAGAGAAATTGGTTGTGATAACAGGAGACGAAAAAAGCAGCAGACACCCAGAGAGACACGGTGTTTCTCTTGTGAATATCTCACAGATTTGATCACAAATTCAAGCATTTGATGCTCACAAGAATCAAAAGAAGCAGGAGAGGAAGAATCTAGGGAGCGCCAGCTACCAGGCTGTGGGTCCCGTCCCCGTACCAAAAGAAGAAACACAAAAACAAAAATCAGTGGTCAGATTGTGTCACTAAAGATGACGAAGCTGAGGCAGCAGGAAGAGAAGTGCCAGCGCTGGCACGTGGGAAGGGCAGACCCCATTTATACCTTCTGTACTCCACACTGTAGTCGCTTGGGGACAGCTGGATGCAGAAAATCACGAGAGTCACTAAGAGAGAGCCTTAGCCCATTATTAGATGCTTGGGAAGGAATAAGAGAATGTAATTTTTAAAAATGTAACAGTTTAGGGTTTTATTTCACAGAAAAATCTGACAGTAATGGGGATCACTCATTGGAGCGTTAAGTAATTGGAGCCAGGTAGAGAAAAGACAGGTCCCAGCCTGGCTTTGGACTCCAGTTGACACAAGAGGTATGTGACAATGGTCTCATGCTGGGTGTAGCAGCAGGCCACAAAATCGTGTGTCAGGAAGAGCCAAGGGACTCAGAGCTGGGACGCAGGGGAGAAAGCATATTCTGGCAGACCTAGGTCACATGTGGAGCAGGGCCACAAGGTTAATGCTGTCCAGACCTGGCCACTCTCGGGAATCGGGAGTCTCAGGGTTGGATCAGTGACACCTGAAGTTACCAAGTACTACAGGACAAGTGACAGAGAGCAGCTTCTCAAGGAAATCCTGGGTGGCTGACTGTGGGTTCACAGGATGAGTGTTGTGGACGAGTTTGTTGAAAACAAGAGACAAAAGAGAGCATATTCAGAGATTAGTATTATCTCATATACTTACTATTGAAAAGTTTAAACCATTACCATGCTTCAACTGAACAATTTAGAAGTGCATTTCCACATCAGAATTGGCATCACTCCTGTTCACTAATTCATATTCCCAGAATTCTGTGCCAACGAAACAAAAATCACAAAGATGGATGAACTAGAAAAATAGGGGATTCATGAAATAAGTTGTGAGTTATCTATATAAAGCAAAGTCCCAGCTAGTTAAAATGATGTTGAATGTTTATGGAAAATATAGTAAATGGAAAGGAAAATTAGAAAATGTGTAAATTAGGTGACAATCCAATCCACTTAACTAAAATATTTTCCTTAATGAAGTTGTTTGAATCAGTTAACAGCTAAATCTGTTGCTAACCTCTGTAGTAGCCATAGGTCTACAGCAGAATGGCAATAGCCATGGACAGCATTCAGCCCCGAAGATGCCGCAATGCTGAGTTGCTCCTTCATGGCCATTTCAAGGTCAATATGATAGAAGCCCTGAGGTGGTGCTTCCTGGGTCCCCATGGATAGTACACAGGACTGGATCCTAGATGCTGACCCTGTCCTTCCATCCCCAGTTTTTATTGACTTTGCTTTCAATTAAGGTCCAATCATGAGATCATTGGTAGCCAGTGTGATGCCTCAGCTTTCCTTGCTACAGAAAACCCACGTGGACTGGAAAATTTCAGCATTGTTGACCACGGCCCTGAAACAGATTCTAGTCACCAAAAGGCCTGGTCAAAAAAAAAAAAAATGAAAAAGAAAAATAAAACAATCAGCTGTGTTGATGTGTCTCTCAACCCATACTGGGTGTTCTAGCTTGCCGTGATAAACACTGACCAAAAGTAACTTTGAGAGGAAAGAGTTCATCTCATTGTGCATTACCAGCTTACAATTCCTCATGGGAGGCGGGGGGGGGG